GGAGGATTGCTGTGAGTACAGGCAACATAATGAGCTCAAACCAATCGGAAACACATAATGAAACCCTGTTTCAAAAAAAAAAAAAAAAAAAAAAAAAAAAGAACACAGAAAAAAAATATAATTAAACCACATATTGCTAATAATTAGGGAAAATATATTCATGGGAAAACATTGAAAATTCAAGATATTTAAGAAATGAGAAAATATAAACTATGGACCATAATGCCATAAGAAAAACAATTTGAAGCTTTTAATAACCAATAAAAATATTTAATCAGTCAAATATCACTCTGATAATAAAATGTCAAATCATTAAAAGGATTTACCAGACTTCCCAGGGAATACTTACATAAATCATTTAGTGAAGTACAAAATATTGTCATAGTACAATAGGAAAAAACAAACCCAAAGAATCAGACAGTCATTTAGTTTCCTTTCAGTCAAAAAGGACAAACTTCGTGTTCAGATTATGAACCACCAAATATATCTGAGGTATTAGCTTTGTAGGGGCCCAGCGAAGTTTACAGAGGGCCTTTCATAAGTGAATAATTGTGTAACCCAAGCAAAGCTGTACACTTATTACGCTGAATGTGTCTCATTGGTTTCTATATCTCTAAATGGTGTAGATAAGTTATTAAATGTGAAGGCCAGAAGAGTGTAAATATGTAATACTTACGTTAAACAAGAGTCAATGCCAATTATTAACTAAATAAATTTTTCCCTTTGTAATCAGCTTCTGTTACTATTGCATCTCCTGAGAGTTTAAATCTGACCTCAACACATTTTAATCTCTAAAATACCTATATTTCACTTTTTATTCAATACTTGTTGTTAAAAGGTATAAAACTCATTTAATACACCCTAAAGCTCAGAAATATTAAAATAAGTTTTATAAAGTTATACAAGATTGTTAAAGAAAAAATAAATAAACCACAAAGGAGACCGTAAGAACAGGTAATATTGAGCTGCAATACAATTTTAAAATATAAAACATATAAACATAGGATGTTGTGTGATAAATTATTATTCATAGTTATTAATTTTCATTTATTGATAAATGACCTTTTAATATTTCATTATAATGTTTTAATCAAGGAGTCTGTTTTTAATGTTTTCTAGAAGTAGAAAAAGCCTCATGTGCACCTCCACCTCAGATTCCCAATGCTCAAAATATGATAACCACCGTGAAATACAAAGATGGAGAAAAAGTGTCTATTCTTTGCCAAGAAAATTATTTACCTCTGAAAACAGATGAAATTGTGTGCAAAAATGGAAGATGGCAGTCGATACCGCGCTGTGTAGGTCAGTGGTAGTGTATATAACTGGCTTTATAACATTTTTGCAGTTATGACTCATAATCCCCTGTGCTCTATATAAATGAAAAACTGAAAGGCTTTCTCTATTTCCATTACACTTGATCCAGAACTATAAACTATGATCTAACTACATCAACCAGTCAGTCATTGGTTTTTACTTCTGTGAACATAATATAGACAACAGTTTTGAAAGTTATGTAAATGTCAGATAAAATTCTCTTTGTAAATATTTTACTCCACATAAAAAGAATAGGACACGGATGAAGGGGGATTCTGAACAAGAGTATGACAGCATAAATATTGTGGAGACATAACTCAAACAATATTTGCTTTTGTTTTTCAATTTAAACTTTTGATTTCTATCTTACTCTTTGATTTCTGCTCTTCATGTAGAGAAAATTCCTTGTTCTCAACCACCTCAAATAAACCATGGAACTACTGAACCACCTGGATCTTCAGAAGTTAGTAAAGAAGCCACTGAATCTAGAAAATATGCACATGGTACTAAATTGAATTATACTTGCGAAGATGGTTTCGTATTATCTGAAGAATATGGTATAACATGTCACTTGGGAAAATGGAGTTTGCCCCCTGAGTGCGTCGGTAAGGGCAGTCTGCAAAACAACTTTTTTTTTTAGTACAAATCATTAAAAACAATGTGTTGTGGGATCGTCACAACCCAAGAGCCCAGCCTGCGTGATTTAACAAGACCCTGTCTGAAGTTGATATTTTAAAAAGGATTTGGGGTAAAATCTTTTTAAATATTGTTATGAAAATAAGAGAACAGAGTAATATAGATAATATATTAAATA